TATTTTGAGTAATTTCTATCAATTTTTGATCTAATACTTTTCCGATTGTCTATCCAAATATTGCTAAGTGAATGAAAACCTCAGCTTCTGGGCAAGACATCCTAAGGGGCTCTTTGAGGTAATGACTGCAATAGCTATCTCTTCATTCTCTAGATGTTCCTTATTTGCCAGGTTTGTTACTTACAGTACTTTTTTTTTTAATCCCAAGATGTTTTCCTTCTACAATTAAAAAATGAAACAGAACAAAAAACAGCTCACTGCTTCTGGTCATCAGCCCTGGCATTCCAAGTGAAGGTTTCATATTGGATTCTAATTAGAAAGGTAAGGATACTGCTACCCATCCTCTAAGCCACCAAAGTGAGACACAGTGCTGCATCCTAAGTGCAGTATTGATGTTGATATATGGCACTATGTTCCTTGAAAAAATACAAATAATATAAAGTAAATGGGATCATAGGTTTCTATGTGACATCCTGAGGAATTTGGTGAAGTGTCCTTTCCAATTTTCATTACCCTATTTGAAAAGGTTAGTTATTGAGGAAGAAGTGACCCTCCTAGCCCCCAAACCAATACTTTTATGGCATATTTGAAGGTTCACCAAGTGCTTTACTCCTGAGAGGTAGGTAATACAAGTGTTAGCAATCCTATCTTACAGATGAGGAAATTAGAGTTCAAGCACATTAAATGACTTGTTAGTTGTCAAAGGGCTGGTAAATAGCAAAGCCAAGATTCAAACTCAGGTCTTCTAGCTTCCAAACCAGTTCTCCTTCCATTATACCACAGAATCTTTAGCCTAATTCTTTTCCTGTGTCCATGATCCTATTTCCTCTGTACCCCAATTCTAGCCTTCTCTACAACTTTGTTCCAGTAATCACTCACTCTTCACCCCTTCAGTCTCCCTCTAACCTCAGTCTGTTCCCTCTGTATTTATACATGCTCAAAACTCCCCAATTCAAAGAGAGAAGGGAATGGATGAAAAGAGACACACACACACAGAAAGAGTGTCCTCTCTCCTTAACTCTGCTCCCTTCTAGAAGTATTAATCTATCTCTTTCATACTTTTCACTCTTAAGCTTCTCAAAGATGTCATCTATACTTACTGTCACAATTCGCTTACCACTTACTCAGTCTTAAACCCCTTGCAATCTACTTCATATTTACCATCACTTAACTAAAAAAGGAATTAGGTTGTGCAGTGGTTAAATTGCCTAGCCTGGAGTCAGGAAGACCCAAGTTCGAATCCATGCTCAGACATTTACTAGCTGTGTGACCTTAGGCAAGTCACTTAACCTCTTTCAGCCTCAGTTTCCTCAACTGTAAAATGGGGATGATAATAGCACCTTCATAACAGGCTTGTTGTAAAGATCGGATGACAGTATTTGTAAAGTGCTTTGCACAGTGCCTGACACATAGTGGGTGCTTAATAAATGCTTACTCCCTTTCAAAGGTGACCTTTAGTCTTGTGTTAATCTTGATCTTCCTTGGCTTCTCTTTAGAATGATGCTACTGACTGTTCTCAACTTCTTGCTACTCTTTCCTCCTCTATGAAGCTTTATTGCATCTATCCTTCCCTCTCTCACTTCCTCCCATCTCCATTTATAGAGAAAAATAAACAGTCACAAGCTATACAGAAGGCTCTTAGAAACCTTAGAGCGATAGGATTCTAGATTCAGAGTTATATGGGAAAGACCGTAGAGGCCATTGAGTCCCACACTCTCATTTTTACATTTAAGGAAAATGAGGCTTAAAAAGATTAAGAAACTTGTCCAAGGTCTGACAGTGGGATTTGAACCCAAGTCTTCCTGGCTCCAAGACCAACACTCTATCTATAAGGATCTTACAGTCAGCATGGTGCCAATGCAGCCAAATCAACCAAACCAAACCAAACCAAAACAAACAAACAAACAAACAAAAACCCCAAACAAAAACAAAGCAAAAAACTCCTATGATTAAATAAGTTAAATGTAAGGAAAAAAGTCCTAAAGATTAGAGTAAATGAAAAAGGAAATGATTTTTTAATTAATTTATTTTGAATTATCAACAATCACTTCCATAAGCTTTTGAGTTTTAAATTTTCCTCCCCCTCCCTCCCCACCTCCCTCCCATAATCTGATATAGCCCCTACATATATATATATATTCCTATTAAGCATATTTTTCACATTAGTGATGTTATAAGGAAGGATTAGAACCAATAGGAGAAACCACCACAAAGAGGAAACAAAATAAAACAGAAGAAAAAAAAAAGCAAATACTATGCTTCGATTTGCATTCAAACTTCATAGCTTTTACTTTGGATATGGATAGCATTCTCCATCATGAGGCCTTTGGAGATGTCTTAGATCCTTGTGTTTCTGAGAAGGGCTAAGTTTATCAGAGTTAGTCATCACACAATGTGGCTGTTACAATGTACAACGTTCTCCTGCTTCTGCTCACTTCATTCAGCATCAGTCCATACAAGCCTTTCCAGGTTTTTCTGAAGTCTGCCTGCTCATCATTTCTTACAGCACAATATTAATCCATTACATTCATATACTACAACTTGTTCAGCCATTCCCCAATTGATGGGCATCCTCTCAATATTTTTGTACGTGTGGGTCCTTTCCCCATTGAATATAGCCCTAGAAGTGAGGAAATTAATTTTTGAAAAGAATAGGTAATTCCTCACTAGAAATCTTTCAGCAGAGGCTGGATGACTACTTGACAGAGATGTTCTAGAAGATATTCTCAATTACATGAGTCAGGCAAGATGGCCACCAAAGTCTTTTCTTATGATTATATTATGCAAGGCATTTATTAGCTGCATGACCCTGGGTAAACCAATTAATCTCTGTTGGTTTCAGTTTCCTCAATTATAAAAATGGGGGTAATAATAACATCAATCTGACAGGGTTGCAAGAATCAAATGAGAGAATACTTACAAAGTGCTAAGTGCAGTGCCTGGCACATAGTAGGTACTTAAGTACCTTTTTTTTAATATCAGTTAAAATAATTGGGAATTTTGAAGAATACCTTGAAGAAACTGAATGACCAAGAAGATCATGAGAGTTGTCTTCATATGTACTTATAAAGGGCTATTTGATGGAAGAGGGATTAGATTTTTTCTTCTTGGTTCCTGAAGGTAGAACCAGTATGCATAGGTGGAAGTTGAGGGGTTGGATGAAAAGGAAAAAAAAAAGTTACTACTACTTGAAGACTTTCAAAAGTGAAATGGAGCTGCCTTGGAAGGTAGCAATTTCCTAATGACCACTAGAGGTTTTCAAAGAGACTCATATTGTAAAAAGCCATCTTGTTCAGATTTATATTGCACTGCTTGGCTTCTGAGGTCCCTTCCACCTCTGAGATTTGTTTGGTACTATTTTCTTAATTTAAAGACAAGGAAATATCAAGCCCCAAAAGGCTGTGTTATACCCAGAGTCAGGCAGTTAATAATTAGCAGAGACCGGACTCAGATTCAGATCTGATGACTCTAAGGAAAGTCATCTTAACCCAGAAGTCTAGATGTCTTTCTCCCTCCTCTAACTCCTGTAACAATTAATTTATACAAAATTTATTCTGCTCTGTGTCATGAATGGATGAATGAAAAATCTATGTGCATGTGCAAAGTGTTGGGGATAAAAATAGAAAAGCAAGTCAGTCCCTGTTCATAAGGAACTTATATTTAATACATAATATAGTACATAGGAGAATGTTGAATAGGGAAAGGTATTTTGGTCTGAGAAGTCACAGAGAAGGTAAGTGGAACAATAGGGCAGTGGGTTGACAACTCCTTTCCAGATGCAATGGTTGTTTAATCTGATTATAGTTTCTAAGAGGTAGAAAGCAAGGGGAATAGTATTTGCAGGGCAGTAGGGTGAAAATAGCTGAAGTGAAGAAGTTTGATCTGGGATGAACTAAATATATTAGGCTCTTGTCAATCACAGCAGCACTTCCCTGGGTAGGAGCACCATAGATACATGTTCTATAAGTGTGTCTTGGTATCCTTATGAGGCTGTAAACTCCTGCAGGATGGGTACGATGTCTTTGTACAGTGCGTCTTTGTACATAGCATTACTATGCACACTGTGTTGTGCCTAGTAAGTGTTCAGTAAACTTAATAAATTAATGACTAAACAAATGAATCAACCACCTTTTTAAGTTAATATCCAACTTAAAAGATCCAGGGAGATCTTTTCTATATTCCTTCTATCTCCTTTTCCCATCATAAATTGGACATTGGCCTTTTTCTTCCATCTTTCTGAGCAGATGTCATTTCAATCTGGGGTGGTAGTTTTTCATATTGAGCTATTTGATCTTCTCCAAGCGTCTGAAGTCATTGTCCAATTTTTTTTTCTTATAATGTGGAATGGGAATTGAGAATGTCACTTCCCAATCAATCCATCAATGATTCATTCAACCAATACTGACTCTGTACCTGAGATATATGAGACCCTGGGTCAGGATCATTTGTCTCTCTATGAAATAATGATCATTACTGATGGAGGCAGTGAAAAGGTAGTTTTGCAGCTAGTATTGAATTCCAAATCTTGCTTTCTTCTGCCCACAGCAAATTCCAGAGTACTTTCTCCATTAGTTAACCACTGACAATTCATGTTCATCCAAGAGCATGAAATTTGCTTAAGTAAAACACAATTTGGGTAAAAAAACTTATTCAAAATGATGATTATAGAATTTTATATACCATGGTTTAAATACAAAGAAATACTGGCTGGTACCATGGAAAGAGTGTTAGTTCAGAGGACCTGGGTTCAAATCCTGCCTCTACCACTTAGTATCTGCATGAATTAAAGAAATAATTTCTTCTGGGTATTATTTTCTTCATTTGAAAAGAAGAAAAAGAAAAGACAAAGGGATTGGGTGTGATGAACTCTGCTGCTAATTCAATACTTATGTATGATATGCTGTGCTATAGTTGTCATCCATGAGAATGTAAATTGATAGAAAGTTGATTAAATCTGAGACTTTCCAATTATATGTTTCAGCTTTCTAAAATTTGGGATGATGAAGATCAACCAGACATTCCTAGAAGAATTCATCCTTGTCGGCTTCTCAGTCTACCCAGAGTGGCAGGTTGTCCTCTTTGTTTTATTCTTCTTTCTCTACCTTCTTACCCTCACTGGCAACTTGGCCATCATGGCCCTTACCTTAGTGGACCATGCCCTCCATACCCCCATGTACCTCTTCCTTGGTGTCCTCTCCTTCTCTGAGACCTGCTACACATTAGCTGTAATTCCCAAAATGCTGGTAGACCTGTTGGCCAAGCATAGGAGCATTTCTGTCACAGGCTGTGGCCTGCAGATGTGTTTCTTCCTTGGACTTGGTGGCACCAACTGTATCATCCTCACAGTGATGGGCCTTGACCGGTTCCTGGCCATCTGTAACCCCTCCGCTACCCCACACTCATGACCAACAAAGCATGTGGGCAGCTTGTGGCTTCAGCTTGGATTGGTGGCTTCTTTATCTCCTTGACAGAGACGATACTGATCTTTTGGGGATCCTTCTGTGGCCCCAATCTCATCAAACACTTCTTCTGCCACATGCGAGCAGTGGTCAAATTATCCTGCATAAATAGTGATATCACAGAGGTTGTTGTCACAGTTATTTCAGTGTCTGGTCTGCTGGGGACATTCCTCTTCATCATTCTTACATATGTGTTCATTCTCTTTACGGTCCTCAAGATCCCCTCAGCTGAGGGCAGGAAGAAGGCCTTCTCCACTTGTGCCTCCCACCTTACTGTGGTCATCATCCACTTTGGCTTTGCCTCCATTGTTTACTTGAAGCCAGAGGCTCAAGAGGGAGATGACACCTTCATGGCCGTTCCCTACACTGTTGTCACACCCTTCCTCAGCCCCATCATTTTCACTTTGAGAAACAAGGACATGAAGAATTCTTTGAAAAGAGTACTGGGCAAAAAAGTTGCCTTAACCAAATGATCTTGGTAGTTGCCATTGGCAATAAACACTCAGAAACAGTGAGACATTTGCCCTATTACCTGATTTTTTCCCCTTTCCCAAAGACAAGAAGAAAACAACAGTATCTGATATCCTAAGAATTACATAAATGTGTCCAGCATGCTTAAAGGAGGTTTTCCTTTCCTTGTGGCCATTTACCCCTAAGAGAAACCTGTACCTAAGGGATATATAATCAGGCGGTGGAACACCATTCCAGTCATCTGTGGAGATTTCCGATGTGCTATGGGGGAGGGGAGTGGTGAGTAAAGTAGTGTTGAGGAAAAACAAAACAGTAGTTGGGATGAGGAGTGATCAATATTTGATGTTAACAAGGAGTGAGGATGAGGATGAGAAAGGTGTACAGACCAAATCTTCAACTCAATTGTGAAATTGCTCAAGCTTCCCCTGGCACACAGCACCATCTACCACTTAGATACACACTTTCTTTCAGGACTACAGCATTGGTGTTCTGACAACAGCCCCCAATACTAGTAAACCTAGCCCCTCTAAGTTATTAATGATTTATATGTGATCCTTTTCTGAAGTTTTTGTATTGTAAAATAAGATGTACAGAGAGGTCAATATTTAACCAAATAGATGATTCTTATGTGGTAGAATTTTCAAGCATTATCATTCAGCCCATAGCAGAAAAGGAAATAAGAATGGAATCTTCCTGAAGCCCCTGAAATAGTTCCATTAAGATACTCAATAATCACTCTGGTATGGTTTTTTGAGTGCGTGTATTCATTTAAGGACCCTTTTCCAGAGACTTTTAATGAAGGTCTGGTCATACGGTAAAAGAAAATTTTATTTCTTTTTATAATAATTTTAATAGCACTGTAAGATGCACTGAATTCCTCACAATACACCTCTCAATAAGGTAGTTATGGTAAGAACAGCAGCACAGCCCCTTCCCCTGTGCAAGTTGGACTAGTTTTTTTTTTAAAGGGTATTGAAGCCATCCTCTAGACTTGTTTGGTTCAGAGAATTAAAGGCTCAGATTATTGGCATCATTTCTTCAATGTATGATTATAGAATGACTATGAAGAGCACCAGGATCTTTCAGATAGCTATTTGATGGATCAAGATGTATTGTCTCTCTCACTTAGAAGGTGATCTCCTTGAGAATAGGAACTCTTTTATATTTATATACACTCTGTGACACAATAAAAGGTAAAGGAGTTAACTCAACTGAGGGTGCCCAAGATGTCCTCAATGTCTACTCTTGTTGAATAAACTCTAGAAATGGATAAGTAAATCTTCTTTTGTGAATTGATGAATGACCTACAAATTTCTCATTTTGTTGCAATATTGCACCTGAGCCTCCATAGCACTGGCCTACAGTAGGCCTAAGCCAGGGGAGGAGTAAAATTTCATTTTATAGACAAATAGGCTGAAATACCCAGAGAACGAATGAGTAGCTCAGGATAAGCTATCCAATAAGTGTAAGAACCAGAACTGAAACTTAGGCCTTGTTACTAAATTAAATGACATTGCATATGCTATAATAAATGAAGGTCAATGCTCCAGTGTCCTATAAAGTCCCATAATGCTCATTTCTTAGTATTAGATACACCATCACCTCCTCGAAGTTTTTCCTTTGCTGTTTCTTTTTGAACTCCCTTCTATTCCTTACTAGATCAGGCCTTCTTTGGGTCAATGGGAAGCCTCCTTTCTTTCATCTCTACTTTCAAAGCATTTCCAGATTTCCAAGATGCTCCAATTTTTTTTATTATTTTTTTCTTCATACCCAAATGGCTTCTTCATACCCAAATTCCTCCAATCCCCATACCCCAGAAGCTTGGTCCAGGCCTCAGCACAGACAGCAGCCACACACGCTGTTTCTGATTCTGAGGCAGCATCTCCCTATGTCTTTTAGCTCATACCCCTCAGTCCCTTTTGCTTCAGCTGTTTCAAATTGGATGAAAGAATATGATGTAGCAGAAAGAGCTCTGGATTTGAAATTGAAGATGGGGGATGGAATCCTGACTGTGATATTTCTGAGCTGTATGTCCTCAGGCAAGTTGTTCTATATCTGTTGACTCTGTAGGTTCTGACTGAGGAAGATAAAAGACTTAAGCTCGAGGTCCAAGTCAGGCCTGCACCTCAGTCTTATATTATGATAATAATGATTTTAATAAGTGGCATTTAGAAAGACTTTACAAAATTTCACAAAGCACATTACAAATATTATCTCATTTTATTCCCACAACATCCACGTAGATAGGCACTATTATTATCCTCATTTTACAGCTGAAGAAACTGAGGGAGTCTGGTTGAGTGAGTGTCTGAAGCTGGATTTGAAATCAGGCCTTCCTGTCTCCAGACCCAGGACTGTATCCACTGCATCACATAACCGCTTTCTTTCCAAAGCAATGCAGCCAAATTCTTGGGACACTTTAACCACAACCACCAACTCTACCTCTTAGAAGAAAAAAGTAAAAAAAAAAAGAGAAGGCCCTTTTGCAGGCCATCAGACATGTGCCTGACTCTCCCTTGAAGACCTCAATTGGCCACTCTGTTGTTTTCCACTGGTCTTATCAATTTATCCAGGTGTTTCAGCAACTGATTTCTATACATTTAATTAGAACAAAGCTGACTCCATTATTTAGACCAGTGATTTACAAACTTTTTAAAAAATCTTATATCTGTGTCAGTAAGAAAAAAATTAAAGCAAAATTAAAAAAAATACCCTCCATGTAATATATGTAACAATTTATTTGTAAAGTATGAGCCCCTCTTTCCCCTGCTGTGGTCTTCCTGCTTACCAGATTTTATTGGGCTTAGAAGGGCCTAGAATAGAAGGAACAGGTCCTGTGGGTACCCTTTCCTTCCAAACTTGCTGACAATGCTCTCTTTCCTTCCAGCTGGACAATAAAGGCCTTCATTTGCCAATCTCCACTCCTGAGTGGTAACTCAAATTTCCACACAAATACAGCGTGTCTCAGACCCAGATTCTCCTTCTTAATGGTGATGAATCCCTCCCCATCCTGCTTTGGAATGGGGAGGACATAGTTGATGATAACCCTTGGATGAACAGAGAATTATTAATTTTAATCCTCTTGATTACAATGCTTCTTAACTAAGCCTTACCATCTTCCCTGCTGCTATGGCAATATGATCACAATTGGGCGTTACAATTTGATCTTCTGATACATCCCAAAGATTCTTGGGCCTGGTCATAAAGACTGTGGGGCTTTGCCATTGGCCCTGGAGCTGAAGCACTCTTGATGTATTGTCTCTTTCACTTAGAAGGTGAATTCCTTGAGAATAGGGACTCTTTTGTATTTACATATACTCTGTGATACAATAAGCATTTAATAAAAGCTTCATTCATTCATACAGTACTAATAGTTATGTATATCATAAAACATACAAAAATTCAAATGAAAAAAGGATGAAATAAAAATAAACAATATTTGACTCACTGGTTGGTTGCTCACTACCATGGTCCTACTCTCCAACTACCTCTAACCCACTCAAAATCCGGACTCTGCCCCAGGGTTTCTGAAGGTCCCTGGTAAACTTTTACCTTAGCTTGCTGAAGCCTAGTCCTCCATGCAGCTTCTCAGTGTCTCATTGAAAATTGCTGTTATAACAGCTGCACCAAAAATTTCTCTCTGAACTGGAATGCCACAGCTTTCCTCCATGAAAGGCTGAATGATGAAACAAGTATCTCTAGGTGAAGCCTATGAAAACAGTAGCTCCTCTGTGTCCCTGCAAGCAAAAGTTTCATCCTCCACCTGACTTTTCAGGGAGCATCATCCCAGTCTTGAACTCACTTTTACGTGGAAATCATTCACCCTGCTACATCTACCTACTCAGCACTCCCTTTTCCCTGTGGCCAGCACCCTCCAGCTTGCTTCCCAACTTCTTTGCCTGATCCAGACACACTGCCTTTCCAACGTTATATTGGTAGTTTTGTTGTTCAATTGTTCTAAGTTGTGTCTGACTCTCCATGACTGCATTTGGAGTTTTCTTCACAAAAATAATGGAGTAGTTTGCCATTTCCTTCTCCAGCTCTTTCTACAGATGAGGAAACTGAGGTAAACAGGGTTAAATGACTTTCCCAAAGTCACAGAGCTTGGAAGTGTCTGAGGCTGACTTTAAACTCAAGTCTTCCTGATTCTAGGATGGCACTCTATCCACTGTATCACCTAGCTCCCCCTGTACTGGTATACTCATCGGTATATATCTCAACCCTCCTCTGTCTCAATTCTTAATATTCCTGCTTCTTCCAATACCCTCTTTGACACTTTTATTAACAAATTCCTTTTCATCCTGGACTTTAAGGCTTCTTTATTTGTTTTTCTTCCCTGGATTACCTGAATGAGCTGGAAACAAATTCTTTCACCTAAGAAACACGTGTTCAGAAACTTTCTCTAAAACTGACCTTCCTTCTGGGTAATCATCTATTCCCCATTTCACAGAAGTGGAGCAGTAGTTCACATATTCCTTTATTCCTATTGCCATTCAGAGACCCTTGCTGCAGCCATGAACAATTGTTCTTCCTTTGAAATTAATACCATTTGACTCTACCAACTTCTCCTGATCCTTGACACTGTCGTGCATTTAATTGCTTCCAGAACACTCTTCCATGAAGAACCTGAGATTTTGCCTGAGCACGCCAGCATTTAAAAGGTGCTGACAATCTTGGTGCTCCTAGATGAGAAGCAGAGTTGTAATGGGGATTCTTTTTTGAGAAAGGGGCACTAAACATCTTTTCAGCTCCAAAATTTTGTAATTCTATATATTACTAGGGGCAACTAGGTGGCACAGCAGATGGAGTGTAGAATATGAAGTCAGGAAGACATAAAACTTTATACTATTTCATGTCAAAAAAAAAAACCTTACCTGGAAAACTGAACAATGAGAAATAATTTAAGAATTGTGGACTATCACCTCTAAGGAGAAAACTGATGAACTCAGTGCAAATTGAAGCATATTTTTTTCCTTCCTTCCTTCCTTTCTTAGCTAATAGG